TTATATCTCCGGTAATATTGAAAGCACAAAAAACGCAGACCACTTTTTGGAAATGCCAGGGCTAGGAGAATTATGTGATAGTTGTTTCAAGAATCATACATGTTAAAGTAGATAGAAGACTAAATGTCACAAATAAATTCAAATACCAAAGAAGACTTTCAAGTCGTCTTGCTATTGTCATGTTTCGTGGGACACCCTGTACCACCTTGTTTTGCAGCAATAAATGTTGCCAACCCGACCATTATGGAAGCCAGAATCAGACTAAAGTTTTAAATCTTCAAACAAGTTTTGCGATTTTTGGGATTAAAAATGCGAGTTTCCTATGATTCAAATCAAAAAATATTTTTATAATTTTGACCTTTTGTCGTTTGACCCTTTGTCGTACTTTTGACCCCTTGTCGTTTGACCCTTTGTCGTTTGACCCTTTGTCGTTTGACCCTTTGTCGTTTGACCCTGTGTCGTTTGACCCTTTGTCGGTGAATCCCAAAAGAGTGTGTGTAAGTAATACCGAACTAAAGGTATGTATTGTAGGTTTATACAGTACATAAGAATCTCGGTATTTGTACAGTCTAGGAGAGTATATTTGTTTACTTAAATACATTTATACATTTTTCGTATATTGTGTAATCTACAATAAAAAATAAGTTTAATATACATGTAATATATTATTTATACATTTAAGTCAACACTATATACCAAATTTACATGCAAAGAATATAATTTGATTAAAGTTTACAATAAACTACTCGTTATTCAAGCTTAATTATAATTGACAACATTGTTCTGCAATTTCCTTGACTGTAGTCATGTTGTGTGTCTGTACCAAAAGAGTACGTGCGTGTGTAATACCGAACTCGTCTGCAAAGCAGTGGGACTGGCTTTCTCATGCCAGACCAGCGCCATTTCCTTTCCCTTTATTCTTATTCCCTGCTGTAAATCAAATCTAATCGAATTTATGTTAAAGGGACTGTAAGCGTAGTTTAAAGTGGCCCTCAATGCAAAGATAGCAGTGCCCAATTTACAACGTTACCCTTGAAAACTTCATCTGATTATACGGAGACTTTTTTTTGACTCAAAAAGTGTTTATTTCTGTAGATTCTTCATTGTTTCTTATAAGCACGAAATGCGCAAGTCACTTTTTGCAGAGAAACCACAAATGAAAAAAGAATTAAATAAAAAGATAAATACCTAATTCATACTTGATCAGATGAAGCTTTAAAGGGTACCTTTGTAAATCGGGCATTGTCATTTTTGCAAGGAAGGTCACTTGAGATTATGCTTACAGTCCTTGTTACAAAATATCCAATCGATACTGTAAACATTTTGCCCATTTATCTTAATGATGTACCATTACCATATGTTGATCATGTAAAACATCTTGGATGCACGCTACAAACAGATAAATCATTTACTCTTGATATAAATCAGAAACGTGGACAGTTTATTGCTAAAATTCATTCCCTGAATCAAGAATTTTACTTTGCAGATTCAGCAGTTTTGATTAAATTATATAACCTTCATGCAACTAGTATTTATGGATCCAATTTATGGAATTTATTTTCGAATGATGTGTTCAGAATTTATTCGTCTTGGAACACTGCAGTTAGAATTGTGTTTAAATTACCAAACACTTGTCAAAGATATTTTATCGAACCACTGTCACAGTCATCTCATTTAATGACCATGTTCTGCAGTAGATTTGTTTCATACATTTCTTCATTAGAAAATTCGTCAAAAATTTGTATCATTTAAAATTTAATCAAAGGTCAGTAACTGCAAAAAATTTGATAAATATTGCAGACAAATGCAACAAAGATTATCGACAAACGTATTGTAAACAATTGTATGATATTTCAAGAAATACCCTTGGAAGAAGAATGGAGGATTCCATTTTTAAATGAATTAATTTCTGCAAAAAACAATAAGATTGTTATCAATGGAGTTGACCAAGCTGAGCTTGACGACTTTATTAATTTTATATGCACGACCTAATTACAGTATGATTTTGTTTCTTGTATTTGTTTTTGATATATTCTTATAGTTCTTTTTTCTTCTGTTTAATTGTACCAATTATTTAAATTGTGTACGTTTACGAAATAAATAATTAATGATTTAAAAGATTTCATTACAAACAAACAAATTATTTTTCCTTCTCATGATATTAACTGCAGCAAGTCATGGGACCATTTTATTATTGTGGCGGAACATACGATTTATACTGATATTCAAAAAGCAAATAGTTTTCCGGTGTCGTGCATGTAGCAGTGTTGACACAAATTAAAAGAACAACAGGGATATTCGGTAACTTTATTGAATAATAGCATGAAATGAAATAAAAGCAAAGTTTAAAAATATTGACCTTGTTCACATCTCGACGTTCTAAAGCTAACTGACGCTGTTCCCCACAAGTAGAGGCGGTAAGGGGGGGGGGGAACATGAGGAGACACATTTGGAGCGGATATAGTATTATAGTATTGTGAATCTTCCGCGGTCAACTTCGCTACACAGTGGTAATCGTCTTCGTGTTTTCTTGAATTTGTTAACAAGCAGACTCTTGTATGGGGAGGACTCCCCTAAAGTTTTAACCATTTCAACACGTAGTGTTAGATATTAAAAACAATGTTATGACATTTTCTGATATATATTAATGTATATTTTGATTTGAAAATTACATAAGTTAGCTATGTCTCGAGTAAATATTAATTGTTTAATGATTTGAAAGGAAGACGACATTTGAGAGAAAATAAATTTATTTTGCCTTTACCCCCTTTAAAATACATTTAAGAACTAAATGCGTTTTTGATTATGTCAACTGATAATATTTAATGTTTAATTATTGCTTTTTATGTCTAACATTGTGCTAAAATGGTTAAAACCTCAGGGCTCAATACTATTAATTTTTCTTAAAATAGTCATATTCACTTGTTAAACAATATAATAGATATTTCGTCTGTCAATAAATCTGGTTTTGAGATAGATTTTTATGTTTAATGATGCAGTACATAAAAACAAATAGACAACAAACAGATAAATAAATAGAGTAAGAAGAAGAAACGTTTTTCAAGTACAACACTTTTTTGTTGAATTTAACTATTTGACCATTAAGAAAAAACTACATAGGGATTCAGATGGCCGGGTTTGATTGACAGCCGTCATTCCGACCTCATTGTCTCCAGTGAACGTAAATCTTGTTTTTAATGTCAAATATCCTTTTTTCGGATGGATTCCGATCCAGCCAAATCCTTAATTACAGGTTGGGTTAATAGCCCCTAGTTCCCTTGGGAAGAAATATAAAGATAAACCAAAGATCCAGAATGTTCCGAAGAAGATGGCTGCAATTGTTGGAGTTAGTCTGCAACATCAAATATTATGTATCTATTTATGGGAGCTTCGATCAAATAAAATCATTCTCGTTGTTTCTACATGAAAAATGTCGCCGTTGTTCTTTCTTTCACTCAAAAAATGTCGGAAAGAATTTAGTTATTTGTAATTGCTGCAACTTATATATATTTTTTATGTCTAGAGCTGGGTACTTTTCTGTTGGATACTCATAATTCTAATCCTTTGATTTGGGCAATTTTATTCTGAGGATTTATATAAAAGCAATACCTTTTCATATCTTCGTTAAAAGTTACTTCTATACGTCTACTCCTGAATTTAGGGTTTCCAGCGAACGAAACGTTTCTCGAAAAAATGCGAAAATGTTCTGTCGCATTTCGCAAACTTTTTCCCGAAATTTCCCATTTTATCGCAAAAATAAATGAAGCGAAATTTCGCGAAAATGCGAAAATAATTTCGCGAAATGCGAAAATTTTGTGAAAACCATGTGTTTTATAACTTCAACAGTTATTGCTCAAAAGAACTTCTCTGCTCTGAGCTGAAACTGTAGAGCGGTGGATATCGAGATTAATGCTTGATCCTCTCTTTTTCTTAATATCGAGACTAACTTAATCTTGTGCTAGTATCCTGAAAACTGTATAAAATTCAACCAATCAGAGTCGCGTATATGAAGCCGATAAATTTGAAATTTTGCGCACCATTTAAGATTATATAGAAACGGGAGAGACTCAAATTTAATCAAACCGGTTTTTGATTATTCTCTACTTTAGCCATTATCCAAGAAAGAACGTTTAAGAAAAAGGTCTAAAGTGTGTCCATTGGCTATGTAATCTCATTCTAAAGTTTACAGTTCTGATAACTCAATATTTGAAATTTTAATAGTCGCGAAAAATGCTTCTCTCTTTTCATCGTCCTCTACCTGCGCTAATAGATCGATTGATAATTCAATTGTACTTCGTAAACAATGCCACTAAAATTAGTTTGAATTTTTAAAAGTATTCAAAAGTGAAAATAATATTTATTTGTGTTCCTCAGTGAAATCATCGAAGCAAACTTGAGCTTTTTCTGGTTGATATTCTTCCTAAAATTGTAAAAGAAAAATCAAAATATAAGAGAAAATATATAAAAATAAAAGAGAATATATAAAAATATAAGAGAAGATATAAAAAAAATTAAGAGAAAGCATTAAAATGTAAGAGAAAATACAGTGGTAGGTGATTTTATCAATACAATTAAGACAACTTTCTATTATTAATAATTTGACTCTTAACAAGCAGATCTAAATGTGCTCATTAGTAAACATGCATCTCATGTATTGCAATTAACCTAACCTAGATATGTATGTTATAACTCCGTCAAACCTATAAGGTGTAAGCTTAACTATGTGATATATAATGACGCATAACTTGTAATTACGTCTGTTAAAACTCAATCCTAATATAGAATCTAAGTATACTCAGTTGATATAAAGACTGCGCTTAGATTACTGCGAGAGAGGAGAGAGAGTAGTGTTTCCTTGTTTGAACAAACAAGTTGAGGATCGTGCCCATTGGTTTGGCATTGATAGTTTACAAGATAGTGTCCAGTTGACATCGATAGCTCGTAAGATTGTGGCCATTGGTTTTGTAATGATAGTATACATGAGCTAGTGTCCGGTTGACATTGATTGCTGATGAGATTGTGCCCATTGGTTTGGCATTGATAGTTTACAAGCTAGTGTCCGTGTTGACATCAATAGCTAACATGATTGTGCCCATTGGTTTGGCATTGATACTTTAAAAGCTAGTATCCGGTTGACATCGACAGCTGACGAGATCATGCCAATTGGTTTGTCATTGATAGTTTACAAGCTATTGTCCAGTTGACATAGATAGCTGACAAGATCGTGACCAATGGTTTGTCATTGATAATTGGTTTGAGAAACTCTTATGGAGTCGGGCATTTACTACAGTGGTATCCGGTTTGATATTGACAAAAGTATTATTGAACTGAATTTCTTATGTCTCGTGAATTAACAAGAGGGATTGAGTATTGAACAGAATAATTCTTATGCCTTGTGGATGTACCAGAGGGATATAGTATTGAACGGAATAATTCTTATGCCTTGTGGATGTACCAGAGGGATATAGAATTGAACGGAATAGTTCTTATGCCTTGTGGATGTTCCAGAGGGATTTAGAATTGAACGGAATAGTTCTTATGCCTTGTGGATGTACCAGAGGGATTTAGAATTGAACGGAATAGTTCTTATGCCTTGTGGATGTACCAGATGGATTTAGAATTGAACGGAATAGTTCTTATGCATTGTGGATTTACCAGAGGGATATAGTATTGAACGGAATAGTTCTTAGGCCTTGTGGATATACCAGATGGATTTAGAATTGAACGGAATAGTTCTTATGCCTCGTGGATTAACGAGAGGTATTAAATACTGAACGGAATAGTTTTTATGCCTTGTGTATTACTGAGAGGGATTGAGTTGTACCTGGATTGGTACTAATCTAAAAGCTTTTCTTGGAGTAGGGCATTTACAAGTAAAAAAAGAGAAGTTGTTTATTGATAACTTCTCTTTGTTTACATCTTAAGATGTGTCTGCTGTTTATAAGCTTGGTAGAAATCAAAATTGAAATAGAAAGTCGTCTTCATTGTATTGATATATACGACGATAGCTCCATGAAAATATAAGAGAAAAGATTAAAATAAGAGGAAAATATTAGAGAACAGCCTGAAAGGACGGTTTTGAATGACCGTAATTAAATACAGGGTGTCCCACGAAACATGACAGTTGGTAAATAGTTTTTAATGTCGTCTTCCATATACTTTATTATTTATTAAAGGCTGTTGGCAGTTTCTTTCGTTTAAAAAGTCTTTTGCTCAAATATATTTTACTTTGAAGTTAATTTTACTATAATATGACGCCTGTTAATATTTTATTATTGTCTTTGGTATTAAACAACTTAACAAATTATTGAAGAAGACATTCTAAACTATTTACCAACTGTCATGTTTCGTGGGACACACTGTATGTTGCTAATTAACCCCTTCTCTCTTGATCAGTCAACATTTTATATGGTACCGTTGCGAATTGGGCAGACCCCTCTTTATAAATTGATTTTTACTTGAAATTTTGTTTCCAGTCCCTTTTATTACGTATTATAACCTGTTATAGTGTTCCCTAAGCGCGTCCTGCTGAATCATTTCATTTATAGAAACCTGAATTAAAGGGACTGTATAGAAACCAGTTTCTCCTTGACAACCTGAATTAAAGGGATTGTATAGAAACCAGTTTCTCCTTGACATTCTGAATTATAGGGACTGTATACATATAGAAACCAGTTTCTCCTTGACAACATGAATTAAAGGGACTGTATATGCATAGAAACCAGTTTCTCCTTGACAACCTGAATTATAGGGACTGTATACGTATAGATGAATTAAAGGGACTGTATACGTATAGAAACCAGTTTCTCCTTGAAAACCTAAATTAAAGGGACTGTATACGTATAGAAACCAGTTTCTCCTTGACAACCTGAATTAAATGGACTGTATAGAAACCAGTTTCTCCGTGACAACCTGAATTAAATGGACTGTATAGAAACCAGTTTCTCCTTGACAACCTGAATTAAAGGGATTGTATAGAAACCAGTTTCTCCTTGACAATCTGAATTAAAGGGACTGTATATGTATAGAAACCAGTTTCTCCTTGACAACCTGAATTATAGGGACTGTTCATTTAATTTTAGGGGAACACAGTGAGCCAAATGTTGCAAGCTCTGGCGCAGAAATCGATGAGATTAATTTGATAAAATTTAAATCTGAAAATAATTATGGTTCAGGTTACAAAAAAGTAAAAGTTAATCAGTAAGGTAAAATCAATGGCAAAGGTGTACTTGAAAGTCGGCCCAGCTTTGAATTTTATCCATCTTTTCACGATTGTCTGGACCACTGCATGTTTTAAGAGATTTAGGTCGTCTTTCAGTCTCATTCTTTGTGGGCAACCCTGTACATACCTGAATAGTTGTTATTGGTTCAATTTTCCTTGATTTTCCATGAGAATTAACTTCTTTCACCTCCCCCTCATCATCCCTTGCAATAAAACTGTAGAATAGGAAGACGACATTACAGCAATAAAAAGACGACATTACAGCAATAAAAAGACGACATTAAAGCAATAATGAAGTGAATTTAATGTTGTTACAAAGCAAATTGTAATTTATGAAACGGGTCTGTTTATACTGAACAATTGCTGTTCCTCATGTTCTTAGACTATTATAAGTCATAACTTAAGTCTAAAAGTCGACTTACTATTCCAGAGTATTTGGGTTATCACTGTATCCACTGCACAGGGCCGGTGAATAAAAAATAGCGGACGAAAATGTCACTGAAATCGTTTAACAACCAAAAATAGTCCTTGGAAGTAGATTTATTACTAAAGTACATTTTTCAGTGTTTTGAAAAAATGCTGGGGTCTATAAAAACTACAGTTAAACCCTAAATAAGCCATACATAGAAGGAATTTATCAAATGTCGTCTTGACAATTGTTCAATGGTTTTTATACTTTTTTACGCATATTTCAGTATTTGCGAAAATAAATAAATAGCCATGAATATGCGGGAACAGTTTTAAAAAGCTCCATATAATCATTTAATTAAAGATTTAAATATCTTTAACATTCCATTATCAGAAAGTAAAGAATACGACATTTAATGAATTCTTTTCATGTATAGGGTTTAACTGTATAATCACGTTTTTTTGTGTTAACCTTTCTGAAATATTAACAGATATGTTAAAGGGAAATAGTACTGTCGAAGTATATTTATATTTAGGGTTTAACTGTATAATTGCGTTATTTTAAATACATCAGAGATTTTATGACTGAACTCAGAGGAATGAACAGAAAAAATAGTTTTATTTAATTGTTAACTGTAATTCAGTATGTTTTTTAAAAAAAGTTTTTTATGTCCAATTCTTTAAAAGGTTTTAAATACCCCTCCTTAAACAAGCCGTTCCCCCCCCTCCCCCTCCCCCGACTCACGTGTTATTTTTGTGTTAACCTTTCTGCAATAACAGATATGTTAAATGGAAATAGTACTGTCGAAGTATATTTATATTTAGGGTTTAACTGTATAATTACGTTTTTTTTGTGTTAACCTTGCTGCAATATTAACAGATATGTTAAATGGAAATAGTACTGTCGAAGTATATTTATATCTTGCCTTACCTCAGCTGATCAATGTACGTGTGAAGAAAAACCTAAACAAATTTGTAAAAAAAAACTAAAACTATCATTTAGCAATTTTTTTACTGTTTTTATCAAAACAGTAAACGTCCCACGACCTATGACAGTTAAATTGCGACTTAAAAATGGTCTGTGATCTTTTAAACAATTGGTGGCATTTATTTGTCGATCTATTGAAGTAAAATTTTTGAATTAATGATCACAAAATACCCCTGATAGTTCGGCATTTCTAAAATGTAGTCTGCCTTTTTTGTACATTACTGGATATAAAAAGAATTTCATTTAGATTTAAAATTTGTTTTTAATATTTAATAATAGAAATGTTAAAAAAAAATCTTTTTACTCTGGAAATATTGTAAGCACAGAAAAGACTCTAATTTGAAAATGTCAAAGGCCAAATTTAAAGAATTTGAGCCGTATCGATTCACACTCTATACAAGCTCGTTTGTTGCATTCTTAACACTCTCCGCCACACTACCCTTACTACCACCTTCTGAAGGGTACACAGTTTAACGTCGAAAAAGGTTTTTATAATTACTGGGAACTTTTCCCCCCAATCTTCTAATGATCGCAGAGAGACAAGATCTAGTAATTATCGATAGAATGGAGGAAAAGATGGATGTTTTTGAGTTTACTGTCTCATTGGAAATAAATATTCAAAATGCCAACACTCAAAAGATGAACAAATATGAACATTTTATAACAGATATAACAGCTAGGGATGTGTCTGTTCACCATTTTGAAATCGGCTCAAGAGGATATATCTCACCATCAAATAAAGCAAATCTAAAGAAACTGCATAAGTTCTGTAAGTTTCAAACCATTGTGCCAAAATCTATCAAAACTGGCAGTGCTGTCATCATACCACATTTTTAGAAAACGAAAAACACTAAACTTTCTGAAAACCATCTCTGAATAACTAAACTATACTCATGCTAAAAGTCTTGTATTGCGCCTGTTTTTTTGGCAAACCCGTAAAATGCGATATCCAGAAAGAATAGCATTAGTAATAAATTGTAAATTTGAAAATTGTTCATTGTAATTTTGCTTTAGACAAATATTGTTTACCTCTATAAAGGGAATGAACAGGTTGAAGAGCATCCAGATATCTACCATCTTCACGTAGGAGGTGGCTGGTAGGGTGGCGGATACACTTAGAAACCTGGACAAATATATATAAAGTGACAGGTAGGATGGCGGATACACTTAGCAACCTGGACAAATATATAAGGTGGCGGGTAGGGTGGCGGATACACTTAGAAACCTGGACAAATATATATAAGATGGCGGGTAGGGTAGCGGATACACTGAGAAACTTGGATAAATATATATAAGATGGCGGGTAGGGTGGCGGATACACTTAGAAACCTGAACAAATATATATAAGATAGTGGATAAACTTAGAAACCTGGATAAATATATATAAGGCGGCTGGTAGGGTAGCGGATACACTTACAAACCTGGATATATTATATGTATATATATATATATAAGGTGGCGGGTAGGGCGGTGGATACAATTAGAAACCTGGATTATTATATACAAGGTGGCGGGGAGGGTGGCGGATACACTTAGAAACCTGGACAAATATATATAAGATGGCGGGGAGGGTGGCGGATACACTTAGAAACCTGGACAAATATATATAAGGTGGGAAGGGTGGCGGATACAGTTAGAAACCCGTATAAATATATATAAGGTGGCGGATAAACTTAAGAACCTGGATAAGCATATATAAGATGGCTGGGAGGGTGGCAGATACACTTAGAAACCTGTATAAATATATATAAGGTGGCGGGCAGGGTGTTGGGTAAATTTAGAAACATGTATAGATATATATTTTTTGAAAAAATGATGGTTGATGTGTCAATTTTTCTAATTACCATCAATGTATATAATAGAAAACGAAAGCTTACATTGTTGCTAGAACCAGCATAACGGTGAGATTGACGGATATAACAGCTTCAAAAAAGAAGGGCTTAAAGTAGTTCGTCAAATGACCTGAAAAAAGGTTAATCGTTATATGAATTTAAAAGACAGTGGTTTATATCAACACAATTCAAGGGCGTAAAGAGTGGGGCGAGGGGGTATTGCCCCCTACACTAGTGATTAGAATTTTTATATCTTACTTTTTCCCTTTTCAAAACAACAAGAAGAAAGAAAGAAGACTTGCATTTGGAAGTAATACAAGTTATAATTTATCGCTTATGTAAATTCTAATTCATAGACATAATAAATTATAATTTTTTCAATTCCCATAGCTTTTAAGTTTTAGCTGAGTGTTTCATTTCTAAAAATATTTCTAATTTTATTCTTAAAAAGTTTAGCAATGGATTTGATTTACCTATAACTGTGAGTAAAGCTGTTGGTAGGAATACTGTTAGTGCATTTCCTAAAAGTCGTCTTCCCAACAGCACTTCCACTCGGAGACTCTTTTTTCCTCTATAAGTAATATCTTAATGTATTTAAAAACAGCTATTGGCGTTCTAATGACGATCTTGCAGGCTTAACATGCTGGAAATTTTATCTACAAATAATTTTGAATATCAAAGACGACCTTGAAGTCGTCGTCTACCTGTCATTTTTCGTGGGACACCCTGTACAGTAAATGTTTGAACTTTATATAATGAAATGAAGGAAATAGGTAAATGAAGAAAATTACTAAAATTATAATTTTTTAATTTAATTATTTCCCATTTTTGCAAAGCAGATAATTAATTACGCAACAATCGGAAAATATTTAAGTTTAAGTTTGTTATCATCAAAGAAACATGTAAACTATAAAAATAAAGGCAGGGTTTATAGTTAAGGAAAGAAATTTGCTAATTGACAATTATATACAGTGTAAGTGAAACTCTATACTATATAACCCGGAATCCCCGGAATAATGTAGTTTGATTGAGGACATCAAAGTCGTCTTTGACCTTAGAAATACGAAATGTTTGCGGCATTTTCCACAAAGGTATAATCTGATTTTTACAAAAAAAAATGTATTAAACTATGATAGCCTGAAATAGCCTGAATCCTGCCATTTGCAAAATGTGGTCTACTAGTTTTAACAATAAAAAATATCAGAGATATTAAGAATTATTTTTAAATTTCAATTAGTTTAAAAAAAAACATGAAAATGTCTCATTCTTAAGGAAATCATTCTTATCTCCGGTAATGATAAAAGCACAAAAATGGCAGACCACATTTTGGAAACGGCCAGACTATCACTATTCTGTGATTATTGTGAATATCACAACCCTAAAAGTACCCCTAAGGGGAGGGGAGACTTTATAGGCTGAAACCTCTGTAGGGTCTGGAAATAGAAAGGCTTTTATTTTATAAAAACTAGTATTAATATACGTTTGCTGAAACTATTTATGTAAAAACGTAAGGGTTTAAAAGTTTTCTTAGATTCTTTTAAAGGGGTTGAGTTCTCCATTTTAAATTTGACAGTTTGAACACTGTTCAAGGCTTTTCCAAACANAAAATTAATGACTAAAGACTAAAAAACTAGATTTTTAACTTTTCACACATTATAGTTTATTTAGACAGATATTTTTTCTGTTTTGCACTAGGGTTTCTTTCCCAATTAAGCATGCTGCTGAGAAGCTATTCTGAAAATAAGAACAAAAAATTCCAAATTCAGGGGGGGGCTACGCCCCTCCCTGAATCTGTCAGGGGGGGCGAATGTAACCCCGCCCCCCCCCTGTATCCGCCATTGACCAGAATAGATTTCTTGTTTTATTTTATATCAGATGTGTTGACTTACTGAATATCCGGTTGGTAAGGTTAGTTTTTTATTGTTTAAGTATGACACACATTTTTCTTGCCCCCCCCCTAAAAATGTTTAGGGGGGGGCAAAAAAATTTTTCGCGCTTCGCGCGAAATATTTCCCCCTAGCCCCCCCCTAACCAAATGTCTAGTTGCGCGCCTGCTTAGGACTCCCCGACAGTTTAACCCACAAATACTCAAACAGATCGTAAGAATCTTTTCACTATAAATTCGTAAACCATTGTAATAATTATTTATCATTATTCATTTCATTTTTTTAGGAAATAAAGAGTTTCTGCATTATCGATTTTGATTTGAGGGTTATTCCGTTGTCTATCTGTTCATCGTCAGAATCTTGTTCCTTTCCGACAACAATGCTAGATTTCTTGTGGAACAACTTAACAATGGTCTATCAAAGTGATCCAAACATTGCAAGCTCTCACACTAAAAGCTATGATAATTATTTTTCCTGTTACGTATTGAAAACTAAACCTATAGAAACAAATGTTTTACAGTTATAAAATGTAAATGTTTATGGCCATACATTATTCAAAATAATATAAATTTGTCTTTTAATTCTACAGAGATTGAGCAAACTACGCGTAACTCTATTGGGCTTCTGCCTCAGGGTTATTGTCAACGAAATACGTATAAATCGTGAAAAGACGACGTATAGTGACCTATCTGTTATTTCAATTAATCTATGGTTTAGGGTTAAAAAAATTATAAGTGAGTTTTGAGGTAAGATCAAAGGCCATGCAAGGCGTTGCGACCCAAGAGAATAGAATATATATTAGAGTGGAATTTAGACAATCCCTCGGTATGAATTTTGTCAGTCCCTCTCAGCCTGAAAGGGAGTTCAAAGTGTAAACAAAAAAGATGGAAGTTCTATAAAATCGGAGTTATTTGCGGCATTCTACACCAGCAATAATCTGAAAATACGTGTAAAAAAGTGAACATTTTTAAAAACATTATTAAACTTGAAATCTTTAATTCAATTACAAGTCATGTAAATGTTCACAAATTATATGCAGTAGAGTACACAAATACAGAATGTTCCTAAGACTAAAGCTGTTAAATAAACGTTATAAAATGAATAAGGTGAATAAAAAACATTATTTGATTTAAAGTTATAACAGAAAATCATCGTTTTTTAAAGTGAAAGGCATAGAGTCAATGCGAAATAATCATTGGTCAATTATGAAACCAGCCTATTTCATAATTTGGTTTTGTTTTAATATTAATTTTAGATTTTCTATAAAATGATGTTCCAGGGCCCAAAAGGTTATATAGCATAAATATGTGAAGTACACCTGCAGTATGGAAACAGTACAACAAAATGGCCGTTTTACACTTTTTTTCTAGTAAAATTCCATTCTAATATATATTCTATTCTCTTTGGTTGCGACCCAGTCTTGAAAATAGATGCAACTTTTCATATCAGTTTGGATCTATGTGAATTATACCTTTGAACAGAGTTGCATTGTTGAAATCCTCGAACAAAATACTGACTAAGCTCCTGGGGTCCAAGGAAATCAAGTTGATGAGGAACTAAAAAGTTAAATGGTGAAAGTTTTTAAAATATCAAAATTAAATGATCGATTAATTTACCTAGGTCAACAAGATGATCGTTGTTTCCTTTTGTGATCATTTCAATATAACAGACTAAAGAAAATAATCATATAAAGTTATGGGATCATTGACAACTTACAACAGTACCCTGATATTATCCTTGTAGTTCCCTTATATTCCTTATATATATATGTATATATATATACATATATATATATATCTATATCACGCACCTCTGACCCTTCAGTAAAAGTAAATTCAACCAAAAGTCTGACCGCGTCAACCTTGTTGCACCGCCTAGTCCTTTTGAGTATCTGCTTTATTTACCCAATGTCCCAGCATACAGTACAAACTGGGACCGGAAAGGTTGAACAGGCTCGGAAATTCAAATATACTACGGCTGCCCGTGATATATATACATGGACAACTCACAACAGTACCATAATAAATTCTAGCGACTCTCACATTGCATTACCATTAAAATCTTTGTCTGATCAAGTATGAATTATACATAAATATGTATATATATTATATATGTATAATATATATACATATATATATATATACATACATATATATTATTTATATGTATATATGTATATATTTACCTCTTTGTGTTGTTTCTAAAAACTGATTATTTTCATTTGGACTTTCCCTACACAAGTGACTGGCGCATTTCTTGCTTTAGAAACAACGAAGAAATTATCAAAATAAAACCCTTTTAAAGATGAATGATCAGATGAAGGTTTAAAGGGTAAATCAGGTATGTCCCTCTTGAATTAGAGGATCACTTAGAAATCCCACGGCAGTCGCTTTAATGAAACCAAAAATCGTAATTTCCAAACTGAACAGAAGTTTATTTGCAATAATAACTGAAACATGTTTTGTAAATAAGTTTGTTACCTTGAGAATCGAAGGGATAGTACATCATGTCATAGTTGCAAAGTAGGTTTACTTGGTAGGTTCGGGATAGGGATAGATCATTCTCACTTCCAGAGAATATATAGACATTCTAAACATATGTATAGACATTCTAAACAGATATATAGACATTCTAAACATATGTATAGACATTCTAAACATATATATATAGACATTCAATACATATCTATAGACATTCTAAACATACATAAATATACACATTCTTAACAACAGATATATATATTTATTATTTAGACATACATGTATAGTCATTCTAAACATATACATAGACATTCTTAACATATATACACAGACATTCTAAACAGAAATATAGACATTTTATACAAATATAGGCATTTTATTCATATATAGTCATTCTAAACAGATATTTAGACGTTATAAACAGTAAAAAAATAGTTTCACGGATTTTTTGAAAGTGTCCATCAAAACAAAATCAAAAATGAGATTACCAAAAAATGCTTTATCATATGCAAAATCTCGCAATTTATCCTTTTTTTACTCACCTCGATAATATATATATTATCATTCTTAACATAAAACTTTATTCACCTTAATTGAATCAGGTCCAGCCATCTGATACCTGTTATCAGTGTTGTCAAGAGCACCATTTTTATAAAAAGATATTTTGCAGCTTTAATGTTTTAAAACTTAACCATTGTATTGTTTAGCTGTACTTAGCAGCATTTGGTTTTTTGAAATAGAAAGAATAAAAAGTATTTGAATATGAAAATGTAGAAAAAAATTTTATATGCTTAAGTTTTTTGTTGTTCGAATGGGATAAAACCAAAATTATCAAAACGTTCATAAAATGTTTTCTTGAGAACATTCCTAAAATCTTTATGAGCGATGATTTGAATAATAGTTTTTTGATCAACCACTGTTTCTTTATTCTCGTCAGTGTTGTAAAAAATCATCTGTTTTGTCACAGTTATTTTAGAAAAATATTATTTGATAGAGTTTACCATGCTTGATCCATTTACCAACCAAGCATGTATGTTAGATTTTGCTTGCAAATAATTTTGCACTAGTCAAATTTTGTGTTAATTTTTGTATTCCGAAAAATTTACTTTTGTCCAAAATGCATACTCATGTAGATTAAAAAACGTACTTACTGAATGAAAAAAACATCTGTTATATAGTATATAAATGAATAAATGATTAAGAAGTAACTATTCCTGAGGGACCCAAATATCTTGGGTTTGTTGAGTTGACACAACATTTAATTCAGGAATATTTTTTAAGTTTTGGTAACTATAGAGAAGGTTTAATATAATTATTTAAACTATTTTACTCAGAATTTAAGAGAATTTTTCTTTACCCAGGGAACCCAGGGTTCCTTGGACACACTTAGCCTACAAAACATCGAGAGTGTAGCGAAGGATGTTTGGTAGGCAAAATTGTCTTTAGGAGTGTTCAGTAACTTAACGTCCCACTTAGGTAATCATGGGTTGGTGAAATGGTACATATTCTTATTTCTTGTGTTGTATGAGGAAGGAAAATGTAGAACCACATTATGAAATGCCATATATAGAGGTTAAGAAAATTTTCCACTGACTAGAAAGTGGATTGGTGACCACATTGGTAATCCCGGGTTCGAACCCCACCAATGAGGGTTTAACTCCTTGCAGTTCCAGGAAGTGAACCTCATTAACAATAAAATAAACTATAAAAAAGAACTCCAAAAACTTTGCAATAACACATCTATTTATAAAAAATACAATTTGCTTGTCTGTCTATTTTGGTGTCTATCTGTTTGGTTTCTAATTTTGTATGGCAAAAAAGACATTCGTTTTTATCAAAAATCCTCCAAGTCGAACTGAAAAATCAGCCAAATAACTTTTTTTGCATAGTACAATAAAAATAGGAGAAAAGGGGCGCAAAGTGGCCTAAAAACATCGTGAATATAAAACGTTTTTTTAGTTTCCTTATGTTCTTGCATAACAAAATAAGAAAGTTTAAATTTAAAAGAGAAATTCTTTTACTTGTAAGTTTGTAACATAGGCACGGGTTGGTATTAATTTTCTTGTTTTGACAGTTCATGTTTACAATTAGCTGGACAAAAGACTGGTAATTTGATTAAATTAGACAGTCACATACGTTTGATAAATTAGAAAGGAAATACAATTATTATTATTTTCAAACGTACTTTAAATAACAAGTAGGAAAATTAGAAATTAGCTTTACAATTGCAGTTTCTCTAGCTTCAGTGGCGGCGTAAGAGGGGGGGGGGGGGGTACGCCCCTTTGAAGATGGGGGGGGGCTGTCTCCAACATAACTGGGTCCAGTTGTTGCATGATCCAAAGCAACACAAGGATTTACCGGTCTACATTTAGTTTTGAAAAAAGTAATTTGAAATAATAATAATATAATAATATTTTAAACAACATAATTTACCCGACAACAACTTTTGGGTTGATTATTTTTGTTAACAATAAAATCATTAATTAATCCTTTCCTTAATCTTGAATCCTTCCACTCGGTGGTAACCTCAAACTTTGTATTGAATGAGTTCTTGACCTCCTCTATCCCAAGGATCTCCAGGATTGCCAGGGATACGTTCACCTAGGGTTGGGCATCGCTATTTTTGTTTTTTGATGTTCGCGGATTTTTGAATGGATTCGTGTACAGTAAGAAACCAGAAAACATTGGAATAGAAGGATGACATTCAAGCGATACTTTGAATGAACTGCAACAAAGTTTTACAAGTAGCGTTAAAAGTCATTATAAAATGAAAAAGTCTATGCACACATGCACAATTGCTGTGTCCCATGAACACTGGACTATTTAACATCCTAACTTAAAAGTCGTCTGCCTCTCCAAGAGTTTGTTGTTTGTCAGTCTCACTCTATTATAGGAAGTTGTAAGAGAAACTTCCAACACGTGTTTCGTAATATAAAAACTACCAAAAGGTTACTAAAATTAGGAAATGTTTCTAGAGATGAATTCAAAAATTTCAAAGGAAGACTTAATAGCCTAAAATGTTAAAAAACGGATTAAATATGATGACCACCACAGCGCTCACCTGGAGTTTTCCTGTTGTCTCACTAATCGGTATTATATCCTAAATAAATAACAAAATAAGATCTCTTTACATACTTTGGCGAAAACATTAAAATTATTTTTATAAATACTTTTTTGGTTTAGTTTTGGTCAGCGCCACAAAAGCTGCTTTTTGTTCTCAAACTCAAATGAGAATCCTTATATCTTTTGATTCTGATGTCGTAGACCTTTGTCATTTCAAATAGTTTTAAAATGACAAAGGTTTACACCACCAGGTTACAAAGATATATGGATTGTAGAATTCAAATTCAAATGGATTGTTTCAGTCCCAAAACCAGGATATCCCACTAAAAACTGATAAAATCCTTACTTTACGTTTCGGGTTTTTGGATTTTAACATTTTTCAGCTTTTCAAATAGCCTTAAACTATGGACATACAGGCTAAAACATGAAGGATAAGGCTTTAATGACGAAAATTTTTTTTATTTAGATTTCTGCTTTTTATAAAGTTTTTAATTGTATATTGGGCAAATAACAAGTCCGCACGAAGGTTGAATTTATTAAGTCTAAATACTCTGGACATGTTCCATTGTAATAGAAATGTCGCCATCACACCACTGGTCACTCAAAATCCTCGTGTGACGCAAGATTTGGCGTAACTTATTAATGGCGGAAGATAATGTGACAATGTTGCTGGTTAGGGGGGGGGGGGGGGGATTTTCNCCCCCCCCCATTCACCAGAGTATCTAACCCTTAATAAACAACCTTGGTGCACACAATGATAATTGCAGTATAACAAGAAATAAAAGTCATCTTTATTAAATTATTCGAATGGAAACATCGCTGAAGATCTTGTATTGCAAAATGTAACTCAGAAATTGAGCTCTGAATATTTAGAGATACAATTCAGTTATCCGTTGCAACTTTAAGTTAATTTTCTTCTAGCTTTATTTCTAACTAAAAGCATGAACGAAAACGACTTTCATTCCAATTCATACTGATTATGACTTAGAGTCTGTGAGTTATTATACAGAGGTTTCCAATAAACATATCAGTTGTGAGGCTAATGATAAAGATCATCTTTGATTTCTGAAAGTGAGAACTACCTTGTGACAAATGTTTATTAAGAAGGTAACACGGCTTACATACCAATTTCGCTATTTTAAAGCTTTCCAGTAGTGCAGCCTTTGATAAACACAGATAGCTTTCAAGATTAAAGGCAACCTCTCAGCTGCCTTGCTTAGTGGGACCCCCTGTATAACCTTGTTGTATGTTTTATCAATGATGATAGAAGAGCAGGATTCCTCATCACTCTTATCCAGGCACTGTGGTCGCCCATCACATCTTTATAAAATCATTGATCAGAATTTAAATGTTTAAGAACACATGCCATCAGCTAGGCGTATACACAGGGGTAGGGGTCTATGTTTTCTAAAGATAGGTTTTCAGACACCAATGGGTTCTGAGCCCCTCCCCCCCCCTGAAAGATAAAAGTTAAACCCCCCACCCACCCCTCCAGACAAATTCCTGCAGACGCCATCTGTGAATACAAAGTATAAATCTCTGTTCGTATGTCCAATGATATCTCATGAACCCCTCTAGACCGATTTATCTCACATTTGTTTGGAGAGCTCGGTAAATACAAGGAAATGTTCTTATCTTGGTTTAAATATTTTAAATTGAGTAAATTCACTTTTTAAGAGAAAGATAGTTTTCAGGCAAAGATGGGCTCTAAAGCTAAACTCTTTATTTGATAAAATTTAAATGTTTTAGAATTAATTTTACTTTTGTCGATGAAAAACATAATTCGTAAGTTAAAGAAATATAACAATACGAATAAATTTGGGTCTTTGTTTAGACTAATAGGCGCTTCTTATCAAGATTATAATGCAAGGAAAGTTATTTCAGAGGTGTACTCGTCTTTTGTACTGCAGTGTACTGTCTCTGGCGGTAATGTAAACACAAGACGGATGTCACAGCCTGACATGGGATCCATCTTTCACATACAAAAATTTAATGAAATAATCTGGTCATAGGAAACTACTATGTGAATTATCAAAATTATCAAAATCCAATGCTTTTAACATCCTCGGTATACTAAACGAACACTGATGCACCCAAACAGAGATTAGAATTTTATAAATATAGATTTATACCTTTCATTCATTAATATACATGATCCATCATCACAACTTAAAAAATTCAAAAAGCTTATTAAAGTATTTAATTTTTTAAAATTTCTAAACTTAATTCAAATGTGTCAAAATCTTAATGTAAATCTACGAACGTTGTTTAGATAATCCACGTGCGGTGCATGGCAGCTCATTATAAAATAATAACTTCATTGTATTTAATTTGCTTTTATGTTTTCTTTCCTGAATTGGGTTTCTTTGCAGCTAGACATTGACAAAGTCTAAAAAAACATTAGGATAATTTCTTATTATAACTTATAAGTAAAATCTTTAATATTCAAACAAAACAGTATGTATGCCAATTAAAATTTTGAAAATCCAAAATAGATTGTTGTAGAATTTTTCTATAAAAATACGTTAATTGTACGTTTGGAAAAAAGTTGACTTTGAAAAATTTCCAAAAGTAATAAGTACAAAAAATATTGGTAACAGCCAAGAAAGTCACAAGCAACAAAGTATTTGGAAAAAGTCATAATTTCTGGCACTAAAATAAATAAAATGATCCGAAAAAAAAATACTATCACTTAATTTCCCATGACTTTTTTCAATGCTTTCCAACTCATGACTTTCTTCTTAGATGGATTCCATCATTCCAACTATTACCTGTTGATAAATATCTGCCTGCGTACACAGTTCGGAATCATTAGTTATTGTCCAAATGCTATTTCCCAGCATAAGGTTTCCATACGGGCTCTAAAATAAAAATAAATAATATTCTTCTAAATGAAAAAAAACACAAAGTTATTTCAGACATCGATTAAACTAAATTTACTGAAAGTAGGTAAAATAGAAAAAAACTATTATAGAAAATAAAGAGGATGGTATGTAAATGTGATTAGAAATATTGTTACAATTTATCATAAAATTTAATTCTTTTCAAATATGCTTCAGCTAAAAATTTATGAATTAAAAGATGTTTTAACTTGAAAAAATGCAAGTTAAACTGCTGAAATAGTATTTCAAAATGTTTCTCCAAAACTTGTCCACATATTTGCCCAAAACTTTTTAAATCCAATCAAATCCAAGGTAATTTTTGTCTTACACTCTAACTAAGCTAGTGGGGTAGGTCAATTAGGTTGGAATAAGCCGGGTACTGTAAGAAATCTGCCCGCGCCATTAAAGTTTAAGCCGAGCCAGAATAGAATAGGGTCGGGCCGGTACATACTGCGCGTCAATGAGGCCGGTATAAGGTGTACAAGGTCGGTCCGGTTTGAATTCAAATTGACCTTAGTCCACCATGCTTAATCACGTGGTTAATCCCCATTCATAAATTTTAACATCGAGTATTTTGGGATATTTTAACTAATTAATGATTTCATCAGACCTTGGTTGTTGCTATCGTCCTTTGTCCCTCTACTCTAGCAGTCCATTCAAAAGTGTTGAAGTCGTATTTGATATCAGTATTCCAAACACCGCTGAAATTTATTGATACAGTGGGATCCAGAAAACTATGAAATAGGAAGACGACTGTTGGTTTGGAGTTATGTAAATAGGAAGACGACTGTTAGTCTGTTATTATGTAAATAGGAAGCCGACTGTTAGTCTGGAGTTATGTAAATAGGAAAACGGCTGTCAGTCTGTAGTTATGTAAATTGGAAGACGACTGTTAGTCTGTAGTTATGTAAATAGGAAGACGACTGTTAGTCTATAGTTATGTAAATAGAAAGACGACTGTTAGCCTGGGGTTATGTAAATAGGAAGACGACTGTTAGTTTGTAGTTATGTAAATGGGAAGACGACTGTTAGTTTGTAGTTATGTAAATAGGAAGACGACTGTTAGTCTGTAGTTATGTAAATAGGAAGACGACTGTTTGTCTGTAGTTATGTAAATAGGAAGACGACTGTTTGTCTGTATTTATGTAAATAGGAAGACGACTGTTTGTCTGTAGTTATGTAAATAGGAAGACTACTGTTAGTCTGTAGTTATGTAAATAGGAAGACGAATGTTAGTCTGTAGTTATAAATAGGAAGACTACTGTTAGTCTGGAATTATGTAAATAGGAAGACGACTGTTAGTCTGTAGTTATGTTAATGGCCCAATGAACATAAAACAAAAACCATGTACTGAACACTGCAATAAGACCAAATAAGTTGATTTTAATATTTACTAGCTAAAGGGCCCGGCGTTGCCCGTGGAAAAACATTCAGAAAAAAATATCTCTAATTTTTTTACCCTATAATAGGGGGGGGGGCACCCATGAGTGTCCACAAAAAATTTAAGCCCAATCGGTCCAGCCGTTTGGCCGGCTATACGAAACATATATACGAATATCTTGTTTTATTAAATAGATTAAGTATATTCAAATTCGTTTTGTCTGTCTGTTTATTGCTTCATGCTTTGTGTATGTACATTGTACAACCATGGTTTAAAAAAAAAATTAATTAGAAAAGATTGTCATATATATTGTTTGCTTTTTTGTCTTGTCAAAATAATTATTTTGTTATTTGTAAAAAATTAAATTTTTAAATAAGACAATTTTAAAGAAAGAAAAACTTCTCTCCGGGAAAAAAACTTTGACACATATGACGATAGCCCAATAATACCTGTAATACACGAATCCATCTTGATGAACAGCAACATAGGTTTTATCCAGGTAGGAGTTTGTGCACAGTCCCCTACATTAGAGTCATTGGTCATACATTTTTTCGCAGCAAAATAAGAAAATACTGTCCTTGAAACATGACATTTTTAAGACAACCATAGGTCGAAACTATCGTGTAGATATGCAGTTAATTTTGAACGTTTGATCTCGATATCCAATGTGAGCACTTTTAAATTGAGGATACATGCTTGATCTCTGAAATGAATTTATCCCTGCAGGATATCACCACCACAGGATATTGAACGGAAAATAAATAAATCCAAACTTCTGCATAAGAAGGAGATCAATGTGCTCATTTTGAGTATAAGATTGAATATACATCTATTTATAAATTTAGCTTGTCTGTCGGTCTGTTTGTTTGTTTCCAATAAACGTCAAAATGGCTGAACCGATCAGGCCCAAATTTTGTGTGGTACCTCAAGTGGCCCCAGGGAAGGTTTATGAATGATCAAATTTTTAAATATTTGTCTCCATCAAAATTCGAATGTTTTGTTGAAATCCGCTAACTTTTGTTTTGTTTTGTTTACGATGTGCACAAAGAGAACATGATTACAATTAACATAAAAGATGGGCATGAAGCGCCCTAAAAGGCAAGTTACTTATACTTGGACATCACAAGAAAAGAAATAATTTGCTCTATTTATTTTTATATTTCTTTTTTATTAATAAGAATTTACAGATTTTATGATCAATACTTTCCTTAGATTAAATTTTGGCCAATGGTCATTTTCACAGAGAAAGCAGTATTTGTTTAAACATTCAACATCAAGAACATTTTTGCCTGAACATTGAGAGAAATTAGTGTCAAAAATGCTTTAAAGGAAATTAAACGTAAATTCAAGTTTAAATTAGATATCCATGTTTTTGTTTTGGAAACTGATTGATTTTTTGTGTGGTTTCTTTTAAAAAGAGACTTGCTCCAGAATTAATTGCGAAATTATGAGAATTTAATCTTCCACCTTAATGATGAGATAAAGTTTTCAAGGGTACAATATTGAATCGGCCGTGCCCCCCTTTCCATGGAGGGTTTCTTTAAATCAAAATATTCTTACTTGGCAATGTTGCATCTACCTCAACACAGTTTTGACCAGAACCTCCATTTGGCTGTCCAATTTTCCAGTCAATGGGTTGCTTTAGAAAAAAGAAAAATGTGAAAATAATATTTTAAAAAACACACTGTATGTTGTATTAAACATTCTTTACAGTTGTGTTTAAGCCATTGAAACTGACCAAATACAGGTTGACCCTTGATAGGTATGATGATATATCTGGTAGTGATAAAACTTTGATAGAACATTATTGATCTTTGATTGAATTGTCTATCAGTTTTATAAAAAGATAAAAACATTTCCACAGTAAAACTCGTCGACATTGAACTAGACACGGCTAATTGAACTAGACACGGCTAATTGAACTGGACACGGATAATTGAACTAGACAGGGCTAATTGAACTGGACACGGCTAATTGAACTAGACACGGCTAATTGAACTAGACAAGGCTAATTGAACTAGACACGGCTAATTTAACTAGACACAGCTAATTGAGCTAGACAACAAGGCTAATTGAACTAGACACGGCTAATTGAACTAGACACGGCTAATTGAACTAGACACGGCTAGTTGAACTAGACAAGGCTAATTGAACAAGACACGGCTAATTGAACCAGACAAGGATAATTGAACTAGACACGGCTAATTGAACTAGACGCGGCTAATTGAACTAGACACGGCTAATTGAACTAGACGCGGCTAATTGAACTAGACACGGCTAATTGAACAAGACACGGCTAATTGAACCAGACAAGGATAATTGAACTAGACACGGCTAATTGAACTAGACACGGCTAATTGAACTACTTCTCTACTAATAAATTTTTCGTCCATAGATTCATTACTTTGTGCCCTTATAAAAAATTTGGACCTGAGAACAAAATTGACTTTGTCTGCGTTTATATACGATACAGTCGACTTTCTTTTTTAAGGTTTGATTTCTAACAAGTAAACAAAGAAAAGCTGTTAATTGACAGTTTTCTCTTTGTTTCCATGTTTATATGTGTCCATGCTGTTTAATAGCATTGTAATAATCAAAATTTAAACCGAATGTCGTCCTCATTGTATTGGTATATACGACGACGAAATGTATACCTGTACTTGTGTATAGTAATTCAAAAAAATATTCTCTGTGATCTGATCCGAATATGGAATCCAGTATCCACTATCCAGACACCGGTCTGCAACCAACTAATCAATATATTCATGTTTTGATCAATTTTATTTATAAAGATTTCCCAGATTTTTGGGTTCCGTCGTCTTCGCAAATTTTATAAATATACAATATATATATGTCTGGCTTGTAAAACGGCTGAACCGATCGGGCTCAGGGAAAGTACGCCCGGTTAAAATTTAAGGATTTTGCTTAGTAAAGTTGTCAATTAAAATATTTTAAAATCCATCCTAAGAATTTGAAAACTTTACTTTGGCACAAAAACTTGTTTTATTTTTTTTTTCTGTGTATTTTTCCAAACTAAAAAAAAAATTAGAATACATTCAAATACTGGTACATATTGCAGATATATCTGAAAATCCATGTTTAAATCGAAAAGGTGTTAAAAATTACTTGAGTCCCGCCAGCGGATAGAAGAAATTCAGACATCGACTGCACTGTAGAATCTTTAACAACATTAATTTCATAAAATAATTTGTTAAAAGCATTATTGTATTAGCTTTGAAGAAAATTTTCATTTATGAAGCTTGAAGCATGTTGACAAGAAATAGAAGAAGTAATTTAAATGGGCTTCATTATTAAAGCATTAGGGCATAAGAGTAATGTCACATAAGAAATAAAAATAATAACATATATTTATCAGAAACCAATTTACATCTAATAAATGTTAATGATGTATTTTTTATACCTAATATCACATTTTTCAAAGTTACAGTTAGAGCCAGAAAAATGTGGAATAGAAGACTACGGTTAAGCAAAAATCAAGTGTCAATGATCTTGTTACAAAACAAATTTACTTGTTACTTTTTAACTCATTTTATGTAGTGAAATGTGTTTCTGTAAACTGCACAATTGCTATTTAATATTTAAAGTAAAAAATTGAGTCTAAAAGACGTTTTTCTATTTCATAGTTGTCTGCTTCTCACTGTTAAAAAAACACTGTAAGAAAGTGAATTACTGAATAATTGTCGCAAGAGAGGTTAATAAACTTAATGCGTCTCTGTAGGTGGAAGCATAGGTCGGTAATGTTGTTCAAAAGCAAGGTCAAAACAAGTCGGTTAAAATATAAATCAAACCATTTGCAATGGAAGGCAGATAACTCCCATCTAGCTTGCTGCAAACCTCAACACTTGTTTGGAAATCTACGTTCTCTGTAAAATAGAAATTTGGTCAAAAAATTTTTTTGAATAATTTATACCAGAATGGTTTATGGCATTCTATGTGTCAATTTTCGAAAAAAAATCCTGACTAAAGGATATTTAAAACAAATTTTTTAAATTTGTGCATGAAAAAATAAATTTTAAAGAATTAAAATAATTCTGTCAGAAGGGTTTTGACTAAACTGAATTTCAGAAATTAAATTTTTAAGACTTTTTTTAAACATCTTACATTTTGGGTTCATCCTCTTAATTTTAGATACAATTTGGTGTCGCGATATATTTGGATTCAGTGTTTAAAGAAATACTATATTTGAAAGGGACTGTAGGCGCAATTTCAAGTGACCCTTCATGCAACAAGGGAAATGCCCGATTTACTACAATACCCTTCAAACCTTTGTGTGTTTGTCGAGTAAAGAGACATGTGTGTGTAAACCCCCTTGTATTTAGCTGGTGTGCGCTGTGTTGGGTTCAGACAGTACACTGGAATTTGCAGCTGAATACAAGCGGGGTTCGATAAGTTTACACATACATATCTATGTACTCAACAAACACACAAAGGTTTTAATGGTACCTTTGCAAATTGTGCATTGCCCTTTTTGCATGGAGGGTTACTTGAATTTACGCAAACAGTCCCTTTAAGAATACTACCTATAATTGGAAGCCTTTTCTTGACCATTTCTTTACAAAGCGAAGGATCTTGTATAGTTGGAACATTCCCTCTACAATTGTAAGATACAATTATTAAAAGAAATTCAATTTATTGTTATAAAAATACTTTCTTTTTAATTCAGGATCACGACGAAACCCGGCTTTCCTCAGGCTCAAAGTTAAGTTACTGAAAGCCAAAACGTACAAAATAATCCGCCAAATTTAAATTAAGAAAATTTCGCGGATTCATCCGATAATTTTGTACAGATCAGACCACGGAAAAATGATCCAGAATGTAACACTAAAGATTTTGATCATTCTGGGCCTCAGGAACACCTTTTAGCAGTGAGATAAACGTGGTTGCGTTCTGATTCGAAATTTTTTTTCAAATAAAAAAATAAAAAACTAGTTTTCCCTGGTATTAAACTTCATGTTTGTCCACTGTAGATAGTCCCCAGTATAGTTGCAGGAGTTCACAGTCATATTCTTTACAAGCATTTTTACAAGTATAGTCTTCGTCGTTTATATCAATACAATGAAGACAATCTCTATTTGAATTTTGATTTCTATCAATCTTACAAACAGACAGCAGAGATACACAAACTTGTAAACAAATAGAAGTTGTCAATTTAAAGCTGCTCTTTGTTTTGTTCTAAACCAGTTTTTTGAAAAAGGGATCAAAGCATTATCAATTAAAATTCGTCTTCATTGTATTGATATAATCGCCGACCAAACGTAGATCTTGAATAAATCAATTTGAGAGCCAGTCTCTTGAAAAGTTTGCTTTGGGAAAATGCTTTTGTGAAACCTTAAGAAGATCTGGCTTGAAGAACCCTGTATACAGGTTCACATTGGCCACATTCCCAATATACTGACTCCTAGTCTTCCCAACTTGACCCATCTCTTTCCCAATGATCAACCGGTTTCTGGACATTTTGTTGTTTTTAAAATATATTTTTTAAGGGACTGTTAACATATTTCAATTGATACTGTGAGATTTAAAGCTTAGCCTGGTCAAGGATGAATTATATAAACCCAGGTTTTGTCTTAGTAAATTCATTAAATTCATTAAAGTAGCAACGAAAATATTATCATTTTGAATCCAAATGAAAGACTTTGTGAACCTGGCAGGGAGGGTCGTTTGACATTAGGCAGGGAGGTCGCTTGACATTAGACAGGGAGGGTTGCTTGACATCAGGCAGGGAGGGTCGCTTGACATCAGGCAGGGAGGGTCGCTTGACATTAGGCAGGGAGGGTCGCTTGACATCAGGCAGGAAGGGTCGCTTGACATTAGGCAGGGGGGGTTGCTTGACAACAGGCAGGAAGGGTCGCTTGACATCAGGCAGGGAAGGTCGCTTGATATTAGGCAGGGAGGGTCGCTTGACAATAGGCAGGGAGAGTCGCTTGACATTACGACAACACTTCCTGTAAAAGAAGTTTTAAACAAAATATTGAATGGCAAGAAATTTAATTAAATAAATTTCTTGCACTTTTTTCAAACCTAAATCCCCTGATATTACTGTATTAGGGTAAAACTTTAAAGAAAAGATTCATTTTACGACGCTTAATTTCCTGATTTTAAAAAGATGTCCTTCCTTAAATCTTTGATTTCGTCTGATTTCAGTTTAAACTCATCTATTATGGTATTTTCAACCATCAGTTTTCCATTCACAGCAAAACTTGCGGCTCCACTTAAAAAAAGTGTTGTTTTTTTTAATTGAATTTCTTTTTAAATGATTGCTTGTATTTTAAACAAAAATTTATTTCGATCGCAATGTTATTTTTTCCGAAATACTACAGAACTTTTTTTTACAGTATTTCTCAAATTCTTTTCATATGATTCTTTCGATTTGCATAATTTGAATGTTGAAATGGTGCAAAATTCTAATATTTGTCAAAATATACAAAAACTCCCATTTAAATATTTTCAATCAACATTAGCCTTGATAAGAGATCTTACAGTGGGACCCGTAAATTGTGGAATGGGAAGACGACTTTTAGACTCAAATTATGATTTTTAAATAGTCCAATGAAAATGAATAACATTATTTTAGCAGTGCATTTACGCAGACCCAATTCACTTAATAAGTTGACTTGCAGATCAATCAATCAATCAAATCATAAATTTTCTGCAGTAACAATATATCATTCATTTGAAATTTGTAAAACTACTACAGTTGGAGAGTTTTAATAGCTTAGAACTGTTTTCTCAAAACTCTCCTGTGGTCCTTAAGATATAACTAATTTTTTGAAGACGGTTAGAGATGGCAGTTGGTAGAGTAATTTACATTAAGAAATCATAGAGACACCCTTACTCAATCATATTTTCCTTAAGGCTCCATTTAATAACAACAATATCTAGTGGCTTGATCATACAAAGCAACAAAACAACTCCAAATTATCAGTTGCTGTCTGACTTTGGGAGAGTCAGGTTCTCTCTACAGCTGCCTAGTGTCTGTGTAGCCAGGGAGCCCTGAGTGTAATAAAACATGGCGGTACACCCAACTAAGTGCTAAGTTTGGTGTTTCTCTATGTTTCTCTTCCCCCTCTCTCTCTTACCAGAAACAAGAAAACGTAAAAAGTAGAATCCTGATATTCTAAGAACCATGCAAAATGATACTAGTTTATACTCTGGCAGCTACAAGCATCAGACTGCTGTAGATGACCCTGTGTTCTACCTTACAAAACTCAACTTCTCATTTATGTACATGCGGTGCAACTCCAATGGGAGTCCCTTGATACCCTCCCATCCTCACCTACTCCAAACTTCCAACTCCTCCACCTCAATTTGTCACAAACAGCATTTGGAATTGATTTCTTTGTGGACAGATGTTGTGGGCTCCGTGCTACAGATGTTGTGGGCTCCGTGCTACAGATGTTATGGGCTCCATGCTACAGATGTTGTGGGCTCTGTGCTACAGATGTTGTGGGCTCCATTCTACAGATGTTGTGGGCTCCGTGCTTCAGATGTTGTGGGCTCCATGCTGCAGATGTTGTGGGCTCCATGCTACAGATGTTGTGGGCTCCATGCTACAGATGTTGTGGGCTCCATGCTTCAGATGTTGTGGGCTCCGTGCTTCAGATGTTGTGGGCTCCGTGCTACAGATGTTGTGGGCTCCGTGCTTCAGATGTTGTGGGCTCCGTGCTTCAGATGTTGTGGGCTCCGTGCTTCAGATGTTGTGGGCTCCGTGCTACAGATGTTGTGGGCTCTGTGCTTCAGATGTTGTGGGCTCCGTGCTTCAGATGTTGTGGGCTCCATGCTTCAGAATACTCGGCGAAACTAGGATTTGGACACAAAACTCAAAGTACAAGATAAATTTGGAACAATTGCCTGATCTCCTACCAACCCATGCCCCCTGCAACCCACCCTACTGCCTGAACTTTTAAGCCTTTTCAATCTGCTAGGTCATATATTCCTGGTTACGGCAATAAAAGTAAAATTGATAACTGTAGTAGAAAATGAGTCAGCTGAAACAAAACACCAATCATACAATTACAATTGAGCAGAGTGAGTGTACAAAAACAACTGGTTTCGAACGAATTTGTTTTTTCAAAATCATCAAAATTGTCAACAGAAGAAAATGAAATAAAGGTAGAAGGAGAGAAATGATTACAAGAAGTATAATCAAATTAAAATTTTCCGTTTTAACTGTATCCAATTTCAAAATTCACAAATAATAAATAAAAACTCAAAATTTTCATATTTAGCAATCAGAGACTTTTTTTACACTATACTTGAACTTATTTGCATACAACTTTTAATACTGGATCCAGAGCATTCCAAGTCAGTGGATGTTACAAGCTACTGGTAACTTGCTTCATAAAAACATCAAATAAATGTTGTCTTTGTATAAAAAATCTGAACTGGTCCCACTGTACCTGGAGGTATCAACTGAAAGACATAAATGTGTCCATGTATGCCTGAAGAAATTTCATTATTCAATGTCAATAAATTTTTTCATCAAGTTTATCTCGTAAATGAATGATAATATTTTGGCTAGAGATTCTGTTTAAGCTAAACTTTTCCTTCAAATATATAAATAAATATTTTACAGAAGGGTTAAAAGATTTTAAAATTGAATGATGTTTCCCTTTTAATCACTGAGGTTAGTCCAAAGTTATGCCAGACTCCTCTTACATAAAACCAAATGATAATTTCTAAATGAAAAAATTAATTCTGTTATTTGATGGTTTATATATGCATGATATATATTTGAGAATTAAAAAATGATATTGTTTACGTCTTTTACATAATGTAAATAGGGTATTTTTGTATTTCATTTGCTCATGAAAAATTTTCGCTTTTTTCACGAAATTTCGCTTTAATCTGTTTTGCGAAAAATATTATGTTATAGTAAAAATTCTAATGCTTAGCCTTCAGAGCAGAGAATTCCGCAAAGCGCAATTAATTGTTAATTCCATTTTTTCGTATTTTTAAAAAAAAGTTTTTGTTCGCTGAAAACCCTAGAAGTAAACCATACAAATTTACGATGTTTGCCGTTATTTTTAGAAAGCATTCCGTTCATTCTTTTCATAAATGGTTCTTTCCATTTTTTTAATGATTCAAAAATTGGCTGTTAATTTTTTAACCCTATAAAGGCTGTGGGGTCTGAATCCATGCATAGCCTTGCGGGAGCCTGTTTAGGGTTAAAAACTGTCGTTTGTTAATGGAATCCAGCCCAACCTTAATTACCTGTTCCCACTTTTGCTTGATAAATATAGAAAGAAATCCATTGTTTTCCAGAATCAAGAATCAGCTGCAAAGGTCCATCATACTCTTAAAAAACATTCTTTAAAGGGACTGTCTTTGTATTTTAAATTGAACCTCCATTTATAGATGGGTATTCATAATTCACAACAGTAATTTTAGACCTTAATTTTGAGCAATAATGTTGAAGAGATTTTGCTTTCCTAGGTTTAAAAGTGTTTAATTCTGCTAATTTTTCTGTTGTTTTTGAAGCATGAAGTGCATTGTTCACATTTGCACATAAAGAGCTTAAAAATAAAAATAAACAGTTTTAAAAACCAAAACACATGGATATCTCATTCAAACTAAAATCAGGAAAAACATTTCAAGGTTCCATTTTCAATCCATCTATTGTTTATATTTATTGTATATATTCTTAAAGTTTGGACAAATTAAATTCACTGCCAAGCAAGGGTTTGGAAATTCTGAGAATCCATCATCAACACTTTTCTATCATATGGCATATATGACAAATGGAATAAGAAAGGAGTTGATATTTCGATAAAAGAATTCTTGATTCTTGTAAGTTCATCTCAGACAGATACTTGCAAATAGAACTGATATCTTGATGCTAACACCTAGAACCAGATTCAATCGACAGAATTATAACTTCCTTCTGACGGGTTCAGATCTTAATAACATCTAACCAGGCTTGCTATTAAAGCTAGTTAAAAAACCTCCATTCTCCAGTGCAATAGCTCAACTTGTATCTCTGAATACTTTAAGAAGCACCTATAGCACAAGATAGTATACCCATGGCATAGCAAGACCTAGTTGTTGCTTCTCTGTAAGCTAAATGTACTCAAACCACAAAACTTCTAACATTTCAAAACAAACAAAAGTTATCAAACTTTGCAATATTTTATCCCAAGAGAAAATAAAAGAAATCTGTATTTTCTCAGGATCAAAATTGTGCAAATGTTTTTGCGAAAATTGTAAAACTTTAAAGATTTTTGAAGAACCTTAAAGCACATTATAATGGAACTAAAGAATTAAGATAACACTATAAATCAAGAAATATTTCCCTTCTAAAGGTCTTAAAATTATGCAAATTGAATATTAAATTGCATATATATATATAAAGCAGTAATTTCTATTTGTTTTTTGTAAATGTCCTATCATAACCCATTGCTGATTTGCCTCAAATTTTCTTTATTTAACTCTTATTGAATATTCTTAACTTACTTTTAACTCCAGACAACGCCGGGTTCCCAAGCTAGTAAAAATATAAAGTAAATTAATGTGAATTCAAGCACCTTGATATTTGATGAGGTAGAGAGAGGAGCATAAAGTAAAGTTCTGTGGTAAGCCTGGAATGATATTGTTACCAGCGAGCTCCAAATAGTTCAATTCTGAGCCTTAAAAAAGATATTTATGAAAGACTAATTCCACCAGTTTAAATCTTGAATTACCGATTCAAAGTTAAAAATTCGTGAGGCTTTGAATCAGTGATTCAAAATTAAACCGACGGGTTGGTTGTTTTTCCTGAGTGGATGAAATATAAGACGACTAAAATATGGACCGTATATAAAGCCAAACCAGTCAGAATTTTGCTGCGTGAAGACCCGGTCTTGGGAGTTGATGCTTGATTGTCATTGGTGTCTAAACCTCTATGCCATAGTATAAGATTATAGGCACCAACTGAGCTCAATATCCTCATCGTGTGCTTTTGAATTAAAGGATTTTTGAATTAGGGGAAGCAATATATAGTTATACCTCCAAAGTATTCAACCGGAGGCATATTACAGTTCATCGGAGACCTTTTTGACGCAGGAAAAATACTAACGATTTTGTTGTTTAGATCTATCTATCTATCACGCATGCAAATATGCTTTTCTAGGCTTTCAGGGCGCTTCGCGACCATATTCTATTTCAATTGTGAACATTTTTCTTTGTATGCATTGTAAAACAAAACAAAACAAAAAAGTTCGTGGATTTTATAAAAAAGAATTTCGTGGATTTTTAAACTTTAATAAAAAAATAGAATTTTGTTTGAGGCTAAGAAATTTTGATCATCCATAAACCTTCCTTGGAGTTCATGTGAGGTTCCACACAAAATTAAGGCCCATTCGGTTCAGTCTTTCTGACGTTTATTGGACACAAACAAAAAGACAGACAAACAAATAGTCGAGCAAAGTATAAATATGGATTCATCCGTTTCGTATAACATCATTAGTGAAGAAAGCGGAGGGGGAAGTGCGGGAGTTTTTTTTATCAAAAAAGTAAAATTTTTTGGTATCAGAAAACTTAAGTTTCCTCAATGATAATTACATCTCATAATAAATATGGGTTTTTTTCGGAAATATTTGAAAATATTCTTTTAAATTAAAATGAAATACCATATTGAAATTTATAGATCTGAGCAAGGGTCCCAGGAATGAATAAAAGTAGAAAATGTGTTCTAAGCTTCATCATGGTTGGCTACACACTGAGGTTATTACAGCTTATACCACTGAATCCATATTTGTCAAATCTATTTATTCCTTGAATGGGTTGAAAGAACGAAAAACAAAAAACAAGTACAATAATAGTTGGTAATTAAATTAATTATTTACCTTCAAAGTAGACTCTATACGAAAGACGTAATAAGCTCAAATTAAAAAACGTCAAAAACTGAGATAGTATCAAAATACAAAATTTTTTATTAAAAATGTTGAAAAAATGAAGGTCATCTTTATTAATGGACTAAAGTTTATAAAGTGGTGTGTTTTAGTCACAACGGTACCTTAACAGCTTCGTCTGATTAGGATTTAATTTCAATAATTTAAATTTAAATTTTCAAAAGTGAATCGCTGATTTCTTGCTACAGGAAAACAATGGAAGAAATTGTTTCTTGGTATACATCTTAAATGTTCGAGAAATAGTTTTTAGAATTTTAGCTTATAATGTTATCACTGCATTCTAGACAGAAAGAGATGGTAAAATATACGTGACATCACTGGTACGGCTTTGGGATCTTAAATCGCCCCCTAGTTTTTTTTTCGTACAAGAATACGTAATGTAAATTCGGCTAGAATTTTTAATTAAAAACAGTTTGTTATTGTCAACAGTGCAGTTCTTAAATAAAAGGAGTACAACATATTTATGATCATAATATATTTATTATCTAGATGATTGAAAGAAAACCTGAAGACGACATATATTTTACTGCAGATTGGTTGCTACTGAATAACAATAGAATATTCAGTGAAACATTGTGCAAACATTTCAATAAAATTATATATATTATTCTAATCCTTAAATACTTATACAGTAGTAATAGCTCACACAACGCTACAATTAGTTTTGTTTTTAAATTGAAACTTAATGACTTTTACACTATTCAAAATTAATTTACGTTATTTTTCATAATTTGGTACTAAAAACTGTATCGTACATAGGACTAAATTGTTTACGACTATTTATAATAGCCCTTGATCGAATTATAAATAGGAATACATATTACTTTATTCACATGTAAACACTTTAAGTAAAAGTTGGCTTTTATATCAATTATGAAACAATTCTTTTTATAATGGGGAATTCCTTCAAAAATTGATTTAGACGAATCTCCTTGGAGTATGTAAATAGGGCATTTAATGCATTCATTCCAAAAATCCAGAATCCAAATCCAATACAAAAATGGTTCTTTAGGAAATTACTTATTTTTCTATATAAAAATTATATTTTTCTAATATAAAGTAAGAATTTAGTATAAGAAAGAAATTGACCGATTTTATTCATAATTTCAGATACAGAACAAAAGATATTGTATTAAATTGTGCGAGTAACTTTATTTTACATCGGAATTTCCTGCTCAAAAAGCACTATTGCGTTTAACGCACGCAATTATCAAAGATTTCCAAATTGCTTGCAAGTGCAAGCAATTGCATGTAAGTGCACACAATTGCATGCAAGTCACCCCGAACTTACTAGAGTGAGAAGCATTCGGTTTCTTCTATTTGAAATCAAACGTGTTTTGGTCTATACTTCAACACTCTTTAAACACTCTTGACGCGACAATCTTTTAATTTACGGATTTGTTGTACCCTCTTTTTCATTCAAAATATGTATATGCCGTTAAAAAAGTATTCCGGAAAAAAGGCTAATAAAATATGTTTAATGGGTCAAATTGGGATCGAAAGTTACAATTTTCTGGAATATTGACAAAACCTTTAAATCCACGTAAAAACCACATGCGTTGGAATCTCTAACTATCGAAGAAAAGGGCTAGGTATGGTCAAACTTTTTTATAATCCGTTCGTTCACTTTTTTAAATGTTTTTTTTTCGTTTGTTAATCAATCTTTGTACATTAATCACTAGCTAAAGGGCCCGGCGTTGCCAGTGGAAAAAAAATTTGGAAAAAAAATTTGAAAAAAATGTTTGTTTCAAAAGTTTTTTAGATTTTTTTAGCCTTTGACACCCCCCGGCCAACCATAAGTGTCCACACACAATTTCAGCCCATTCGGCCTAGCCGTTATATATATGAATGTCTTGTTTTATTATATAGAAGATAATATTTTTTGATGCCATTAATGATAAACAATTTAAACATTTAGACTTTAAACATGTTTTACATTTGGTTAAACAATTATGATATTAGGAATAAAAAGATAGATATTACTTGATAATAAAAGACGACTTTTAAATGATTTTAATGTATTATTAAGTTTCTCTGTTTTGTTAATGTATATCTTATCTTTCCTTGCTATAAGCATCATATCAATATATTATACATATATTAAAATAGAGATATCAATTTGAGTTTAGTTTAATTTCATTTCTAGAGTTAGCACCGCGTACATTGCTCTTATACAGGGTGTCCGGGACTAATTAAAAAATCTAAGAAGAATAATTATTATTTTGAAAAATTGAATAAGGCTAATATAAAAATATTCTTGAGAAAATGCTATGTTTTTTAATATTATATTGTGGAAGACGATGCCTGGCCGCGTTAAACTAGTTCCACAAGATTCAACAGAATGAGATAGAACGGATACGGGGCATTAGCACTGATATGATCTCTACAGTCTACACGTGCGATATCGATATTGACTCTAGTTCTGAACCCTCTAGTAATAAGTTATAAGAAATATATATACTGGAAGTTATCTATGCGTTTTATTAGAGTCTGACTCACGTCCTCTATAATATGTTTATTTTGGCGTTAAAGCTTGGAGATAATCTTATATGATATGGCCGGGACGCTCTGTACCGTATACAATTAAAAGTATTAAAGATATTAACAACGGGACTAGACCCGTTATTTTATGTGCACCATCTAATTTAAAGAGTTAAAATTCCATTGCCAATTAAGAATATACCCTCTAAACCTTTGTCAGAGTAATAAAAGGAGTTCACGTGGATTTGACAATATTTCAGACAGCTCACACAGTACGCGTACATCTAACCCTTTACTAAAAGAAAATTCAACCTAAAGTCTGACCGCGTTACCCTTGTTGCACCGGCTAGTCCTATTGAGTGTCTGCTTTTTTTACCCAATGTCCAGGCGATACAGTACAAACTGGGACCGTAAAGGTTGACCCGACTCGGAAATTCAAATGTACTAAGGCTGCCCGTTAGCTTTAACTTTCGATCACAATTTGACCCATTAAACATAATTTGGTAGTCTTTTTTCTTAAATAATTTTTTTTTCGGCATATACGCTTTGAATAAAAAAGTATAGAAAATACAGAATAAAAAAATTAGTAGTTTTACGATTGTTTAATTGTAGAACAAAACACGTTTGCTTAATTTCAAACAAAAGAAACCGAATGCATCTCACTCTGGTTAGCCCGAAGTGAGTTATCCGTGTTGTCCGGATTTAGAAGAGGAAGTAATTACGGCAACATACCGTTTAAAGAAAAAGTAAAAGAAAAAAGAGCAGTTATATAATAATTACAGGTTTAGACGTAGGACTATAAGGAAGACTAATTAAACTTCACAATATTATCAACAACTAAATTAAACGAAGCAACATGGACAGTTTCTGTAATTTTCAGGTTTGTTAAGAGTTGCGTATTGCCAAATTTACAACGGTACTTTTTAAACCTTACTCTGATCAAGGATGAATGAGATTTACTTATTTTTCTGTCTCAAAATAGAAAACTTTCGATTTTTAGCTCTTTATAACAGTAGTTATGCTGACAGTGGAAAATTGTCAGATGATATGATATTACGAATTATTCTTGGTTTAAAGGATACCGTTGTAAGGTTCAAAAAGTCCCCTGAAATGACCTCTACTGTCTCTTTAAGTATAATTATGGGGAAAATAAAAGCTAAATTCACATTTACTTGGAATCATACAAAAACATTTTTTGATTTGTTTTGATTCATTAGAGCCTGTGATTTAGGACCATTTATTTTATTGAAAAAATTGAGATTGAACCAAAATACCATTATTTTATCTTTATCCCCTATGTTTAATTGAATTTTAATAGAAATGTGAAATCAAATCAACTTCTTTTAGGCTTCAGTGACTAAAGATTGCATAATTTGTGGAGATGCGGCAATCGGAAATAATTTTGGAGTAGTTAGGAATATTTACTAATACCTAAAGGAATTATAATATCTGGGCCCGGACTTGTTGCCATTTCCAAAAGTTTGTAATTATTTTTCGTATCTTAAATTTCTATTTTGGCCGAACATAATAAGATTTTACAATTTTTAATTTACAACTTTCCTTTCATAAGTGAAAAAATGTCGATTTTGAAATTTCCTTTTTTGTATAATTGACAATTTTCGGTTTAGCTGTGAGAGTTGCAAGGCATTTTTTAGACGAAATGCAAATAAGGTAAACATTAAGTTTGATAAACGGTAATGACTATACTTTATAGTATTTTTCATATTGTTATATTTTGATGAAATAAATAATATTGTAATATTACTTTATAACACTCTAATAATTTCCAATTTTATCAACATTTTTCTGGGATTGGGAATAGGGTCCCCATTCCGGAATTCCATTGTGCGGAATTGTGCTCGAATTGCTCGGAATTGTGCTCGAATTGCTCGGAATTGTGCGGAATTGCGCGCTATTACAGGACTTACAATTGTACGCAAGTACTATTACATTGGAAAGCCTAGTGGGGAATGAGCGTTGGAATAAAATATGTTTTATGTAATTGGCATAATTTGCTTGGATTTCCTGTGGCTGATCAGCAAAATCATGGATTTTTAGTCCAACTTCAACAAAATACATTTATCTGTATCGATGCTGATCGATTTCTAATTCAAAAACCGTCTAAGATAGCGTAAAAGTCAAATAAAAAATATCAAATAAAAATTTTCATTAAATAAGGCCAATGTCTGTGTGTATATTTACCGGGTTTAACACTTATTGAACTTTAAATATTTAAAAGTAGAACTTCCTCTCTTGTCCAATTGAATTTCAACCTAGGTTTTGGTTTGTAACTTCTCATCTAACTGTACCATTGACAAGTTTACAAGGAAATTCTGTCAAAAATGTCGGCAAAGGTAATTTTTTCAAAATTCTCTTGATTAAAAAAATCGGATTGAATTGTGATAATTTTTTTATTTTAAACCGGGACATGCAAATGTTATTTAAAGGGACTGACCTTGTAAATTCAAGTGACCCTCCATTAAAAGTCTGGCATGTCCGATTTACGACAATACACTTAAAACCTTTATCTGATAAATAACAGGGACTGGGGAGGATATTTCTCGTGTTTATTTCTAATAATTTCGGAAAAGTCCCTTTGATATTCAAAATTATCGTTTGTATCCCAGATATATGAATACATTACATAGACCGTCATAAGTTTTTTGATAATTCTAAAGAACCTTCTTTTTATTTTTAATTCAGGGTAAATTAATAGCCCTGAAATATGAATGCAATTGATATGTTAATATTATCTCATTTTCCGCGGCATTTGATCTTAAATATGTAATACGACATTATAAAAAACTCTTGCTATGTATTTATGTATCTGGGATTCATTGTTTTTTTCGATTCAAACATTTACAATTTTATTTTTTTCTTTAAAACTAGGATTTTTTTATGCCTGAAGGAACTGAAAGCATAATTTCAAATGAGTATGACCCTCCATGCAAAGATGGCAATTCCCGTTTTCGAACGGTACAATAAAATAGCTTATTGTAGTTATTAAAACAATAAAACTTCTAATGCTGACATCTAAAAATGGAGAATTCCACAAGTTTTTTGAGCCATTTTTTGTTGCAGCTAAAGTTTCGTTTAACTTTTTCGTAAAATTTTGAATCGTTTTCGCATATTTTTGCTTAATTCATTTTTGCGAAAAAAACCGAAATTTTGCCTGCAGTATAAATTAGATATCTATGTTTTTGTTTATTTGAACTCTGCAAGAGTGATACAGCCAATCTCGCATATATGAATGCATAGAAAGAAATCATGATATGTCGTCTTGAAATTTATTTTAAAATGCATGACAGCTGTAATGTTTCATCATTAGTCTGCACAAAAAGAAAGCTGCTGATATATTCGCAGCTTCAAAGGGTTGAATACCATTTATGAAAATATATCCAAATATCATTGTAGAGTCATACGTTTTTTGATAGTTCTTGAGAAACTGCTTTTTATTTTTAATTCAAGATAATTTGATAACCCTGAAATATAAAGGACGACATTTGATATAGTAAACTTGTTTTTCCGCGGCATTTGACCTTAAATATGTTGAGAATACGACATTATAAAAAACTCTTGCAATTTACTCATATATCTGGAACTCACTGTACAATAAAACTTCTAATGCTGACCTCTCAAAATGGAGAATTCCACAAGTTTTTTGAGCCATTTTTTGTTGCAGCTAAAGTTTCGTTTAACTTTTTCGTAAAATTTTAAATCGTTTTCGCATATTTTTGCTTAATTCATTTTTGCGAAAAAATCCGAAATTTCGTGAAAGTTTTCGTTTGCTGGAAACCTCAATAAGAAACAATCAAGAAAGTCAAAGAAATAACCACTTTTCGAGGTTGATCTTTTCATGGAGGGTCCAATGAAATTACGCTTACTGCCCCTTTTATTCAGATTTAATCTTGTTAATATGAACTCATTCAGGAAATGCCTTGAGTATGGAATGAAACGAGAACTTATCAAAACAGAAAATCGATCAAGAATCAAAAAGAAAAGGTTTACAAAAATATTTAAAAAAAACTTTAAAATATTCGTTTTGAATGAAAAAGTGAAGCCCCAAGGCAAAACTTTTCTTTAATCCATTCTTAAAAATCTAAATTAAACGGCTACAAGGCTTCTGCAGTCTGCTCTCTGTTTTTGCGCTCCTATTTTTTTCAA